AACATTAAGAATTTGGTAGTAAATAGATTTCGTATTTAGTTAGCATTATATTTTATTTAAACGCTTCAAGTGCCTGTGGCCTGGTCGGGTTACGTACAGTGTACACACTAGAAAATAACACTATATAGAGTATAGAGTATCTAAGTATATACAGCTAACAGTAATAGCAGAGCGTATAAATCAATTAAATTAATATTGCTTTAGACTGTAATAATATATTAATTATTATTATTAATATTATAATTTATAGTTTATTATTTATACTCTGAGTTGATATCAATATCAATAATGACAATATGATCAATGATATACTCCGAGTTGATTTATATATCATGCTCTGGTAATAGTAACAGTAACAGTCAGTAACAGCTAGACCATACAAACCATAGATATCATATAACAACTATTATATAAGTGATATAACAGATTAACAGATATGATATAACAATAATATATTGTTACATGATTATGATATTGATAATCTATGATACAAAACACACTCACTGTTGAAGTTACACAACCACTGTCCTGACCTCTATAATAAACGGTATTTTGAACTCGAGAGTCGATTCAACCTATTTCAGCCTAGATGAGATCGAGTCGCTTCATTATGTATAGAATATGTTAGTGACGGCATTTAGTACCAGTCTAATGTGCAGTCTACCACGAACATCCGTCCCTTTATTAGCATACATGACTCATGGTGTACTTCAGTGAGCATGCGCGAGCTCAGTAAAAATGGCGACGTTGACTAGGATGTGATATGTATGGTAAATATTTCACCCTTTTACAGTTCCGTGGTTGAGCCGAATCGTGTATTATTTATGCGTTTTTAAGAGATATGGTGCAGTTTAATGATAGTTTTAACATATTCTGAGGTTGTTTGGTGGATACCTAGGAATCAGCCTCGGTCAATCGAAAATGCGGAGGCGATCCCGTGCCGTGGCCATGGCAGTGCCAGTGGCAGTACAAGTACTACAACTACAAGTTACAACTACAAGTTACAATACAACTGTCAACTCTGTACTGTAGTCTAGATTTGGTCTCAAAGTCTGTACAGTTTGTAATGTTTAATATTATAGGTTCAGTGCACGCCCACGTCTGCCTGGCACAGGCGAACCTAACCCTACTTGCTATCGTACGCCACCAGATCCGCCCAGTACGCTAAGTATAAACTAAAAAATAAGTAAACTGTCTAACTAAGACTAAGGTGGTTGCAAGATAGAAATTAGTAGTAATAGTAGGTGAACATCAGGTTTAGCGTCGTAAATTAACTTGCAAACTCCACCGCCAGATGGTGCTACGCGGTCTATTGGCGTTTCGGGCGTATAAGTGGAACATCGTCAGCACTCCTCCACCAGCTTCTCCCTTTTCCACCACCTTCTCCCTTCTCCCCTTCCTCCTCCACCAGCTTCTCCCTTCTCCACCAGTTTCTCCGTTCTCCACCACCTTCTCCCTTCTCCCCTTCCTCCTCCACCAGCTTCTCCCTTCTCCATCAGCTTCTCCCTTCTTTCCCTCCTCCTCCACCAGCTCCCTTCGCCCCCTCCTTCTCTACCAGCTTCTCTTCCTCCTTCTTTACCAGCTTTTCCTCCTCTTTCTCCACCACCTCTCTTCTCCCATTCCTCCTTCTCCACCAGCTTCTCCCCCTCCTCCATCTCCACCAGCTTCTCCTTTCTCCCCTTCCTCATTCTCCACCAGCCAGCACTTTTCAGTTAATTTACGATGCTAAAACTGATGTTTACCGTACTAGTATTACTATTACTATTAGTGAGAAACCAAAGTGGTTTGTGTATTTGACATAACACACCGAGCACAGCCACAGGCACTTGGAACATTTCAATAATAAAATGATGGTGAATGAACACGAAATTGATTTACTACCAAAGTTTATCTTCTATCTTTCTACTATTAGTATAATTATTGATAATTTCCTGTAAATGCTGTTCAAATGCTCCTCTTCAACACACAAGTACACAGCAGGCATGCTGCTATGCACAAACAACAAGAATTTAGAGCAGGTGGGAAAGTGTGACCGCAAAATTCGCACGATGCTCGCTTTGCTTTATACAAACACAGCCAGGACAAATACACAACAAACTGCCTCCATTTAGGTACATATGCATAGCTAAATGTTCACTTGTTAGCTCATCTGACATAGTCAGATGCAGCTTGTAGAATCACATGAGCGTGCGTCCATCCGGCCGTGCGTCTGTTTGTGCGTCCGTGCGTCCGTGCGTCAACAGTTGTGCACACAGTTGGGATGTTGAAGCTAGGGGGTCAAAGGTCAAATGTCAAGAGGTGTAAAAGAAGGAACATTCCCTCCTTAACTTAAGGTATAGGGAGGAAATGCAGGAATTGCGCGCCACAAATCTAAATGCTCGACCTAGGCTCGTGATAGTCGGTGTATAGCATCATGGTAGGAAAAGCCATCACTGTGCGGAAATTGAGGTCACAGGTCAAAGGTCCAATGGGCACACGGCAAGATTTTATTACATTTTCTGAGGACATGGTCCTGACGGAGCGCATGAAAAACTTTTTTGTTTCCAGCGCGGTGACCTACATTTTTATGGCTTTATTTGAAAGGACTATGAACATGTACCTTCTGCTGACATGCGAAGAGTAAAGTGTCGGATACCTTTTGACCCTTCAGAGGAGGGTTAAACAGTGGATTTGTTTACTGCCTGTTAGAAAGAATTTGACTGCGGGTTTGCTAGTAGAATCTAGTTACATGCCTGGATGTATGAGGCTACAATGTCACAGTGAAATTTCAAAAGCTAAATTTCGTTGAAGAAGGTTTATGCTCGCTTAAATCGTATAATTTCTATGGCATTCTGTACTGTCAGTATGTTCCATGTAACGTATGCACTGCCAGTGCCACTCCAGTGCATGTGGTGGTGTTACTGTGTAGTTTTGCCTGCGTTAATGGTTACAGGTGGCAGCTCTCTATTGTGGGCTTGCGTAGGTAAATGGATGAGTGCTTACCTATTCTGTCTTGCAAATAGTTGTTGCTACCACGTACGATGGGAGCTTCCATCTTTAATCTGAAGACACTTAAACGTACGCGCCATCTCGTGCAACTTTCATGACGATTCCAACAAACATTCCTTTGAGAAGGTTCCTGATACCATCCCTGTGCCTTCCACTGTTTTGGAGTGTATGTGAACACATTTGGGACTAACAGGGTTTACTAGAATCCCACCACTCCACCACAGAGTCACCGCAGTAGACGTTAGATGAGCGCTGTCGCTCCGCGGCACTTGTTTTAAATATTTTGATCAGTCATGACACTCGCCTTTTGATTTGCTATGCAGAATAATTACACGTTTATGTCATTTTTTCATCAGTTGTTATTGCCGATATGTTATTATTATTATCATGTGTAATAAATGTATATGAATCAGAGTTTTGTGATCGATTCTCATCCAATTATCAGCCTTGTGACAGCAAATTGTCAGGTTTCTGTTATTGTAAGTTTTCTTATAGCTGCAATGTTTCTGACAATGTAGGCCTCCTTCTCTCACATTATGAAATATGACATGGTAATGCATATATGTGTTGAGGATTTAATAATGGCATCTAAATATTTGTTTGCACGTAAAGCGCTGGTTGTAAGATGACTCCAATTGTTTGTTTGGTACTCAACAAAAAATAATAAATAGTTATTTTAAACTCGTGCTGGTTGTTTTGTAAAATGAAATTGACAGCGGGTTGTGTATGTTTTCAGAATGGTGGAGACGTACATGTAAAAAAGCTTTGGGAGGATGGACATGTTCTCTGATTTTGCAGTAGACCTTGATAAAGTGCTTGATGATTTTGAGCTAAGTGAAGGTAAGCTGGAAAACATTCATGCATCTGTGTGCATGTGGCCGTCTATCCGTCAATGAGTATGTCATTGTGTGTACGTGTGTGCATGTGTGCGTGTTTGCATGTGTTAGTGCCCGTAGAGACTGAAAATTTGATCCCACATCAAACTAGTTCAGGCCTGACGCGCACACAATTTTTACAGTACTGCAATTTAGCACGCGTCTAGCCCAGGCCTGGCCCCAACTAGTTGATGTAGGATCAAATTTTGCAGTCTGTACAGGGTATAGGTCTTCAATGATATGTCTAATACACGATGCGATACATATCATGATATTTTGGCCATGATATAACACATATAGATACATATACATATATATATTATCATACATAATACAGTAACAAAACTACTGCAATGTGCAACACTTTTAAACCTGATTGGCTCAAATACGTAACTATAACCAGTCATCTAGCCGATTAGAGCAAATGTACACACGTGTTAACTGCATGGCTTTTGGGATACCTCATTCGTTTCGTTCGTGGAAATGCAATGAAATTACAATTAGACATAGATCTGCCATCGTTAAGTCAGCATGTTCATTTATACCTTGAAAAATGCACCCGACTGAGGTTCTTGACCACATGAAGAAGACACTGAGTAGATGGCGAAATCGAGTTAGTTCTGATTTCTTTTTGGCATATTGTGGTGTATCGATATTTATGTGAAGCTGTATCATGATTCGTATCATGTACATCGTTTCACAAATAATTTTTGTATCTCCGGCTGTGCGTGTGCATGACTGCATGTGCATGTGCGTGTGATTGTGTGTGCACATGTGTGTATGCATGCATGTATTTGGGCACGTGCGAACGTGTGTGCATGTGTGTTACCAGGGTTAGAATCTGACTTTTAAAATAACTTGCATTTTATCGCTAGTGGGTTAAAAATATATTCACAAAATCAGAAACATACTCTCAACTCTCAAATTTACTAACTATATGGCATGCTTGAAACATCACTTTTTTGAATGGTTGTTGCCCCAAATTTAAGCTAATCAAACATTCTTTTTTCCAAACATAATTTTTGACATAAGGCTGCTAAGGTGGTTTGAAAGTTAAGCAAAATAAATGACGTGAAAAATTTCATTAAGATCATCACACCTATAGCACCAAGTCGGCTGTTTCGGTGCGCTTCGGTCATCCTGTATGTCAAAACGAAGGCGTTATAACAACTGACAAAACAAAAGCTGTTGGCAAGTTGTGCATAATTGTGATGAATCACAGCATAGCGTGGTTGCTTCTCTTGGAAGTATCGCGATATGTATCATATCGTGAACGGTTTAATGTGGTATGAATCGTATCGTAAACTACTCGTATCGATCCCCCTAGTGTAAATGTTACTGTTGTGAGATTTCAGTTGTGTCAAGTTATTTTTAGCAACTTTTGGGAGTGACTGTAATGACAATCAAAATGTTGACTTGGCGACATCAGAAGTCAATGTATAAAGCACTCCTGGTCCTAGCACTTTATTTTTACTAAAAAATTAACCAGTAAAGCTGCAAGATGGTGTTTTTTGATATGTCAGTCAGCTCCTCATCCTCAATAAATATCCTTTCAAGCTCTGCAATAGGGGAGCTTCGATAAGATGTTCGTGTACCACGCCTAGACTTAACTTACTCACCCCTATGTATTCCTTATCATTAGTACACTTTACCCCAGAAATAATTCAAAAACAACTCGGTGCCCAAGATCTACGTCGCTGCCGCAACATGGGCCCTTTAAATGTAGCTTAGACTGTCCGCGCGTTGCAGCACATGATCCAGCAAGCACATAGATGATACTGAGACTGAGAGCCACGCTTTCATCTTTCTCGCCAGCTGTTGTGAGCGCGCACCCAGCCAGCTACTGAATAATATACTTTGCACGCGCAAGCTAGTAGTTGCGTCGCAGCGAGCAATTTATTTACTCTCCAGTCGGCGACCAGTGATGCGTGTTTAGGTCGCCATGTAGAGCAATGTGTATGAACCAAAAACCGCAAAAACATAGCAAGTACTAAATTTTCGAGCGTGCGAGTGCTTATTCCAAAACCTGGTGTCTGCGCGTGTGCGTGGATGTGTATATGCATGTTTGGGTGTAGTACGTGTGTGGGGATGGGTGATGAAGCCCAGGTTTAGATGCAAACACATTGTCATATTGTACACGTTGGAAAAGTTCTAATCATCTAAGAATAAGTTCGAGTGTATGACTATGATATATCTTTGTTTACACAACATTTCTTTCTCACGTTGTTTTCACTGCGAACATATGGCACGCTTGTGTGGAGTCGTGTTTAAATAACGTAATCGCAAAATTGTGCTGGTAAATTAATTATGGTGAAGCTGGTATTGATCCACGTGCAGAGGCTTTTATGCCTGTGGGATGATGGTGAGGTCAAGTATACTTGCACTGGTGTGGATGAGTCATAAAATGCATTACAATCAGCTGACACCATGTTTACGTGCGTGTTCGATCGAATGCCTGGCTGCAGATACAGGGCAGAAATACAACTACATCTACAAAATACTGACCCGTGGTACTGCAGCATATATATACAGACTGGAATATTTATAAGGATGGGTGAGGTGTTATCTGTATAAGGATTGGAATTGATAGTTGTAGTCTGTCGGATTGCCATCGATGATGGTTATTCAGAAACAGTTTCCAGCTTATAAAGATTTGGGTCAAATTTAAATGTACATGTACAAGGTTTTAAAGGCCAGATTAGAGAGCAGCTATCGGACCCAATCGCGTTCCACGTGATCGGCGAAATTCACAATCTGAATGTATATATTTTCATTATTTTCGCAATTGGGCTGTATATTTTTCAAAATGACCACCATTTCTTATCATATTTTTCGGTAATTTCACCAAAACCGAACTCCTAGCTATTATAGCTCATTGTACAAGCAAGTTGCTTAGTAACTGCTTCCTCCTCTTATTCACCATCTCATGAACCACTTACTGAAGTGCAACAGTGGCTAGGAGTGCCTTGGTCTGCATATCGTCACATCCAAAATTCATACATGGGTTTATTTTTTCACAAAAAGTACTAGACAAATTAGCCACGTGTAACTCTGATGTATTTTAAGCACTGCTAGCTCTTCTAAATTTATATTAGCAACTAAATGTATTGTAATTTGTAAACCCTATTTATTTTCTTCAACCTGCCTTCGTGCTAAGGCCAAAACAAAATATATGTGTGGTTACCGTTACATGCCGGAAAAAAAAGGTAGGTAAGTAGGGAAAACATTTTATTTTCTTGAAATATTTTATTTATGAACCATGTCCGAAGGATGTGCGTTGTGCCTTTTGAAACAGTGAGGAACTGTCCAATTCATATTTTATTTTATTTGTTTAACATTTTTTTAACATTTTTTTTTTACTTTAAAGAAAATTTACAATAAAATGTTTAGGGTCGCTGGGAATAAATAGGGTCGGTCGGGAAACCGTAACCACACCTATATTTTGTTTTGGCCTAAGCGTAACATAAGTGAGAGTTTTATTAGACCTGGCTGATGTGTAAATATCTATAATTACATGCACGTACATGTGATGTATACGTATCTATATATCTTAGTATACTTTCTTACACATTTGTGTGGTTTTGCAGATCAGAAAACTCTACCGGGCAAGGTAAAAAGTAGCCCGCTACCGAAGGAGAATTGCACGGATCAGAATCTGCTCGTCGCGCTTAAAACCAACCAACTAGCTGCGACTGGCGGCAACACGTCCAACAGCGCCGTCACCAGCTTGCGCTATGACATTTACGAGGAGCCGTGCGTCGCGCGTGATACACGTTGCGACGGTGCAGGCGCAGTGTGGCAGGCCTCTGCCAACGGTAGCGCCGGTGATCGCGTTCATGACGACGGCGCGCACAGCGGCCGAGAGGCAGCACAGTGCGTGTCAGTAGCGAGCGGGAAAACCTGCCGTGGAGATCGCACGGGGGCAGTGTTCGACGACCTGATACCCGTGAAGGACAACCGGGAAGTGAACGGGCATGCCGCAGCTGTGACTGCTGTCGTAGCTAATGGCGACGTCTGTACGCCACTCGCCTTGTCGCACTTTATCGGCGATGATAGCATAGGTGACGTGCCAGCAGACGGTCAGTTGAACGTAAATGGTCTGGGTGGTACGGGAAACTTGCAGTCGCAGCATGCGTCTGGTCAGCATACCCCACCAGAGGCACTCGGAAAGAGAGATCTAGAGTCTGCCAGTGAAACTTCGGCAAAGTTCCTCAAAGGCGAACAAACGGTTTTGAACCACGGCCCTACAGACTGCAGTGTTAGGGCATATGCGGGCACTGCTGGCAGCGACAATGAATGTAGAACGCCAGTCTCAGCAACACACATCCTCCCGATCGATACAGGTACTGTGGTGTCGTGTCATGACACCATTGCGGCCACCGTCGCGCAAGTGAGCTTTCCAAGAGGCTGCGATTCCGGCTACAGTACAATCGAGGACGGCTCGGAACAAAGTTTCGCGTTAAATGCGACGCGAGCGGTATCTCTGGAACAGGCTGCTGTGGCAGTGGCGCGGGACCCAGCCGCCGAAGTGATTCGGAGTGGTGACGGCGGTGCCAAATCGACCGAGCAACTGCAAATGCCTGTGATCGGATTTACGTCGTTGGTGAACGACGACGACAACGTCAGCGACAGCGAACTCGAGGCGATGCTGGCCAGTTCTGCACCAGCCGCCGCTCAAAGGGCTGCTGCCGAGTCGCGCGACGCTCCCGCGTCAGCAGCCGCCGGCGTCGACACACGCGTCACCCCGCCCGGACTACGCAGCCCCGTGCATCATCGGCACGCGGGCGGCCAAGTCGCTGCCGAGACGTCGCGCGTCGACGCCGCAGGGGGGTCCGGCGAGCGCGCGCGCCCGCGAGAAACAGCTGCTGCCGCGTCGGCGCACGGCAAGCCGAGCTACAGCCAGAGCGGCGCGCGCCCGAAGCACCGCTGGTTCAAGAGCGACGGCGGCGGCACGGTGCTGGAGAAGCTTGTCTACGAGCCGCTGCCCGGCGAACCGTCTCGCCGCGAGCGCCTCGCCTCCGACGGCGGGCTCACCCGCGACGACGACGACGACGATGGCCGCACGCCGTTCAGCGACGACATGAAGTCGGCGCTCGTCGGGCTGTCGCTCGCGGCGACCGCCACCTCGGCCGCTGACCTCAGCTGGACGAGCTGCGCGGCGCGGCCTGGTGGTGTGTCAACGGGGGCGGCGGCGGCGGCCACCCAGCACTCCGCGAGGACGCACAGCCGCGTGGCACAGTGGAGCGACATCACGATGGACGATAACGAACTGCAGGTGGTCATCGAGGAGATGGTGGAGGGGGCGTCGCCGACCGAGCCCGAAGCACCGGCGGGGGCGGCGGCCCGGGCGCGCCTGACGCCGTGCGCGCAGGCTGCCGCTGCTGCGACCAGCGTCGTCGTGCCATCGCAGGTGCTGGTCGACGTGCATGCGGAGCAGCAGCAGCAGCAGCAGCAGCTGAGAATGACCGGTGTAGACGTCAGCCACGGCCCGGGCGAAGTCAACAACATCGTGTCACTACCCGCAAATGTCGGCCACGCAGGCAACCTCGCCTCGCTGCCTGGTAACATCGGGCATGCAGACAGCATCGCCGTGCTGTCTGCCAATGTTGAGCATGCAGACAACATCACCTCGTTGCCAGGCAACGTTAAACATGCAGCAGACAGCATCACCCTGTTGCCTGGCAACATCGAGCATGTAGAAAGCAATGCGTCGGCTCATGCCAATGTGGGGCATACAGCAGACAAAATTGCATCGTTACCTGCCATTGGCGGGCACACAGACAGCATCGTGCCTAACTTCAGGCAGGCGGACAGTATTGTCTTAGTACCGGCCAATGTCGCGCACGTCGGAGGTGTGAACACTGCAGGGGAGCGTGTCCTTGACCCTCCTCCTGCCGCTGCCGCCGACCTGCTCACCAGGGGGCTGGATGAGGCGAACTTGCAGCTGCTCGCGTGCGATCCATCGCTCGTCGCCCAGTACGACACTGCCTGTGCAGCGGCGCACCCTGGTGGCCAGCCCCCCGACGCTTGCTCCGTACCCGAGAGTGCGGCCGACAAGCCGCCGCAGAAGCGGCCGACGTCGCTGAATATTCGGCCGAGAGAATTCGCGCAGGCGACGGCGCCATCTAGTGAAGCATCGTCGGCTTCTAGCGTGGAGGAGGTGCTGGAGACATCAACGTCTGAGGGCGCTAAGCAGCCAGGTGAGTCTTGAGATGTTTGTGTGGGCATTCACTGATGAAGAATAACACTCACGCAGTAGCGCTCAGTAGGGTCATATCCCTCTTAGTCGCAGTAGCCCAATGCGAGTAAAAAATAATTTTTTGAGCACCTGAATTTCAATAGAAGATCGCATAGAATGCAAGGGTTTGTTTGCATAGGACCACAATCAGTGAAATCACTATGGCTTGAGTGCTACGATATTACAATTCACTTACTGTTTTCTAAGATCCCGATACATTTTTCTGAGCACTTGAAAACTACTTCATTCTACACGTAAAATGTCTAGGAACTGTTCGAAAAGGACTTTTAAGTACAGTCTTTTACTGAAAATGTTTTTTTGAATCTTTATGCTCATAATGCACAAAAGAACGCCGATTGTTGTGCCAAGAACACGAATCGCAAACTTTGGCGCTTCATGCAATAAGCTTGGCCCCTGAAATTTTTTCTGGGCCCCTAAAATTTTTGCTGATCAATCCCCTAATATTTTTACTTTAGGGGCCCATGTTGCTACTACTTATTTGAGCAAGTTTCCAACACTGTCATCTCACGATTGTTCATTTATAGCTTGAGATGGCCTTTGGTATAGTATGTAAGTTTTCCATGCCTTCACCTTGCATTCGACTGTCTTAGTTGTTGCTAGGTGTCATGAGTACTGTAATAGTAACACTCATGTACAGTAAAACTGGTTTTAAATGCACTTGTATGCCATCACATGGAAAGAGGATGGCACTGCTGAAACCCCTTCCTCAAAATACTTGATTTAGGCAGTGTCTGTTTATTTTATTATATATGTGTGTGTGCGTGCGTGCGTGCGTGCGTGCGTGCGTGCGTGCGTGCGTGCGTGCGTGCGTGCGTGCGTGCATGTGCGTGCGTGTGGTGCGATGCATGTGTGCGCGTGCGTGTGCATATCAGTTTAACATGCTGTCAATACAAACTTATGGATCACAACTGTCAAGCAACCCATGACGGCGATGGTGACAGTAAGAACGATGACTACTTCAACTGTTGCTGCTCCTATTATTAGTAGCCGTATTAATAGTATTATTATCATTACTATTTTATTGTGAGGGTATTTATTGAGAGTTCGGCACACTGGTGCATCTTTTGGAAAATCATGTCAATCAGGAGTAGATAATAGGGACTATTATAGGTACCTATTATCTACTCCTGATGTCAATAGTATTAATGTTAATGGTTATAGCAGTGTACTGGGTTCCCCACATGTCTGCACAGGTTTTCTTACATCCAGTGCCACAGACTGATATAACATTTTTTATCCTAGATGGTGGTTATTGGTATTACTATTATCAGGAGTAAATTACTTTTTTATTTTTTATATAAACAATTTAAGGTTGTGATTATTATTAATTTGTGTTATCAGTACTAGGCACAGACACAGCGGAACCCGGCTCTCCATCGCTACAAAACGTTCTAGCAGCGATCAGCCCGGAGCAGCGACGGCTCGGCAAGCTGCGCCCGTACTGGGTACCGGACAACGAAGCGCCAAACTGCATGAACTGCCACACGCGATTCACACTGACGAAGCGACGCCATCACTGCCGTGCTTGCGGCAGGGTATGTATCAGCATAGCTCTAGTACCATAGCCCGCGTTCATTAACTGCTGCAAACAGCCAATGGCCTGCGGCAGTTAATGAACGCGGGCTATAGTACTAGAGCTAGTATCAGCAGTGCAATTTTCTGGAACATAGCAGCAGCAAGCTCGGGCCCTTCATTTTTACTAATTGGTTTATGAAAAATATTTTCGTCACTATTGATTGAAATTTAAAAAAGGAAAATTGACGTTGGTCAAAGAATCACAGTGAAAGCTGCAAAAATTAAACACAGTGTCTTGAACATGCAGCCTTCATCAACAGATTTTAGCTGAGCTGTGTGTTTTATTTATGCTAGCAGGATATAATTTTTTTATTCCCGAATCGGGAACAGTATTTAAAAAGCTTAGCCGCCTAACTATATTAATTTTTATTATTCGATTTTTATATGGTTGGTAGATATGTAAAGTTAAAAATTAAATGCCCAGTGCAGATGATTGTTCAGACTAGGACTTTTAAACCTGACATTGTCCGTATGTCCATGGATGGTTATACATGCGTTTCTTGTACACAACTTCTAAGCTCCCAAGCTCCAACTTCTCGAAGTTCCGTACTCTTTCCCCAGCCGCCTAGTGTATCTACCATAATCTGACTGGATCTTGAAGTCTGGTGTGGGTCTGATCTTGAAGGGTGACTTTGCCTGTCATCATTTTTTTTAAATGGACAATGTCTATAATAAGCACACAGGCATATACTCATTGTTAGTGTTGTGAGCTTTATCCAAGGTGTTTTGCATTGAAATGGCTTTGATTCTAGATATAAATTCAAACTTTACCTTGTACTGCTAGATTTTGTATTCCTCAGATCTGTGTTAATTACATTACACTGCAGGTTATGTGTGCCACCTGCTGTCATGTGAAGTCTAAGCTTCAATATATGGAAAACAAAGAGGGGAGGGTGTGTCAGGACTGCTATAACACGATGAACAGAGGTATCTAGTTGTGTATACTATTAGTACATGGGTCCAAACCTTTCATGAACAAAATAACTCAATGTTAAAATATAGGTGTTTACTAATAGTGCCTACTATCTCCCTTGATTGAATTGTTTCTTGAGTTGTCATTGTTGTTCTGGTATTGTGGCTTCCACGATGTTGCTAACTATCATGACACCATCTATTGTAGTGCTAGCATTAGAGCACATGAATACACCCCCACGGACATTACCAAACCCTAACAACCCCGCTGAGTACTGCTCAACTGTGCCGCCGCTAGAACAAGCCCAGGCTGCTGCCAATCAACCTCCGCCCACTGTTCTAGTGCCTGTCGGTGTCCTCAAGACGGAAGGTAGGTGTTGAAATTCCATTTGCTTTTAACCAAATTTACCTCACCAGGCACTTGTTAGCTTCATTTAACTCTGATGTCAAACCCATCTAACACCCATGTCAACTCTGTACAAATGCCCAGCTAACATGGTCCAACTGTCATGTCAACTACGTACTCAGATAATCTTCCCAACCCCCGAGATAATCCCACCTAATTTCCATGTCTAACAACCCTATCTAACTACCTAGGTAGTTCCATCTAACTTTTATGTCAACCCTAGGCGTTCTAACTACCTAGGTGGTTCCATCTAACTTCCATGTCAACCCTATCTAACTACCTAGGTAGTTTCATCTAACTTCCTTGTCAACCCTATCTAACTCCCTAGGTAGTTCCATCTAACTTCTATGTCAATCCTACCTACTACTCATGTTATCCTACCAAACTTCCATTTCAACCCTATCTAACTACCCAGAGAATCCTGTCTAACTTCCATGTCAAACCTGTCTAACTATCCAGGTAATTCCTTCTAACTGCCATGTCAACCCTATCTAACTTAATGGTTATATTTAACCCCATGCAGCTCCCTAGTCAATTCCATTCATTCTGTTGTTAACCCATCTCATTCTCTTAATCCCAGAGGCACACAAGCATGTGCAAACACTGAAATTTAAACACAGTTATATATGCAAATACAGGGGTTCAGCAATCCTACCTGTCTATCCTGTTATTTGTTTAATTTTTCTTTAAAGAATTTTAAGTCGGGGGAAGGAAAGTTAAAGAATTTATTTTAATACAAAATGTTCTCCCCATTTTATGTGCTCAAAAACGAATTTTGACAGTACTGTTTTTATGATCAGAATGTATAAAAACTAAAAGGTACCACTGTGCATCGCAGTTGAAAACTGATACGAAATCAAGCCGTATCTAGAATTTTATATAAGCTCTCTAACATATCTGTGTAAAACAGTAGCGAACTGAACAAGAAGGTCGAATAAGGCTAGACATTTTATAGACTTGTTAAGCTTTATTTGTTCTGCAGGGCTATTGGACACCGACAATGTCACTAACGTGTGAATTATTGCCTGTTCACGGTGCAGGTTTTAAGTTTAAACATGTCTTCACATGCAGGCTCAACAAAGCGCCCTGGTGAGAGGAAGCAGGTTATGTTCTCAGATGGTATCCGGCCGGGAGGTGATCTTACTGAGCTAGATGGTGGAAGTGACCATCGTCCACTTCGCAGATTAGCAGGACATGGGCGCGTGCAGAAGCGCGTCGTGTCCCCTATTACACCTCCAGGTGATTTCCATGGGTGACATTCATGTTTATGCCCGAGTACTCATCAGTGTATGCATTTCTCTGGGCTCATTTATTTTTAAGTAAATAATTTTCATAATTAGAATTGTAAAAATCTCTGGGAAAAATATAGTGTTTCCTGTTAGATATTCCGTTACTAAGAAGTGCTACAAATTTGGCCTGATATAGGTTCAGTAAGTCCAATTTGTAATGTTCTATTGTTGATTTATCGTTTTGGCGGGAAGAGAGGACTCGGGGGGATTCCAGGAATAAAGGCAGTGGTTGAGTTAC